GTCCAGCAGGCGGCGTAGCTCAGCCAGCAGACTGTCTCTCTCGCACTCATGGGGCATCGCGTTTAGGTGCGAGAGAGACAGAGCGACGGATATGACTCTCGGAATCAGTTTGGAGGCCAGGCGCAGCCCAGGCGCAGCCCCACAATTTCCTACGACCGCGCGAATAAATCGGCCGCCGGACACCTGCTGGACTTGCCGGACGTCGCTGCACTGTAGACTGCCGTTCCATTTCGGATGCCGGCCGCTCCACAACTGTGGCGATACTCCGGCGCGAGAGACTCAGCTGCAGACTAATTCCGAGAGTCGTTTTCGTCGCTCTGTTTGTCTCGCATCCACACGGGATGCTCCATGAGTGCGAGAGAGACAGAGCGACGAAAACGACTCTCGGAATCAGTCTGCTAGTGGCGGCCCAAGGTGGCGGCGCCCCGTTGCAGGCGATGCAGGCCGCGTTTCGTTGACACGGCGGCAGCCGCGTGGCCGCCTCGCCTCGCTGTGCCTCGCTGTGCCTCGCTGTGCCTCGCTCGCCGCCAAAGGAACGGGCATGGCGGACAAACCGGAGCGTACTATCGGGCCGAGCCATCGAGCGTCTCTCTCTCTCTCTCTCTCTCTCTCTCTCTCTCTCGTTCTACGGATCGCCCCTTGAGTGCGAGAGAGACAGAGCGACGCTCCCTCCACAGTGCACGCACGCAGCGGCTTTGCCGGGCTTTGCGCCGGGAGGCGTTATTCGCAGTAAATTCGCCGATGACCGACGCGTATAAACGGAACGCCCGCGGACGAAGGACGACGGGGCGGAAAGGAAACGGCCGACGGCATAAATCTCTCGCGGTATGGACTGCGCTCACACACACACACACACACACACGTACATTTCACGTACGTGTACGCTGGACTGCACTGCGTTCGTGTCAGAATATATCTCGACCCTTCATCACGCGTGTACCTTTGCCCGCGGTCATGGGTCCTGCCCTCACAGTGTGCCCACTGCCACGCTCTCGCGACCTGCCCGAACGCCTTCTTCCAGGACGCCTCCAGGACACTGCTCCAGTACGCCGCTAGGACGCGTCCAGGACGGCTCCAGGACGCCTCCAGGACGCCTCCAGGAGTCGCGCCTCCAGGATCCAGCCTACGCTCCAGGACGCCTCCAGGACGCCTCCTCCAGGACGCCTCCAGGACGCTGCCTCCCAGGACGCCTCCAGGACGCCTCCAGGACGCCTCCAGGACGCCTCCAGGACGCCTCCAGGGGGACACTGCTCCAGGACGCCTCCAGGATGCTGCTGCTCCAGAACCCTCGCCTGGCTCCAGCGTTGAACTCTCCACGCATGTCGCAGCACGCGAGTGCAGCTTCCAGTGCACGCACATCTTGCAGTGGTCCAGCTGCGGCGTCGGCATCACAGTGATGCAAACTCTGTGTGCGTGCTCCCGGGTGCGTTCACGCGTGTGCGCTACCGTACGCCGGGCGTTTGCGCGCGTTAGTGTGAGTGTGTGTTGCTGAGTCTGTGTCTGTGTGCATCTGTGTGTCTGTGGGAGCTGCATCGCAAGTCACCTTGCTACCTGGACTCTCGGGAGAGCACCCCCTCCCTGCGCACCTCAATAAGGGCTGCTTTGTCGGGAACATCTCTGTCCCTCTACTGACTTTTTTCCCCTCATCTTCATTTTACTTTTTTCTTCTTCTTTTTTTTCGCCGCGCATCATTTGTTGGATCAGAAGATTATGTTGTTTGGTGGAATCCCTGACGACGTGTTCCCGTCCCAGCAACACATCAGACCCATAACAAGCCGGCCGGCAGCCCTGCGGCCCCGCGGACAGACGGACAGCCGGGCAGGCGGACTCGCCGCGCTATCAGTGGGAAATGGACTTGGAAGAGACGCCGTCCCACAGTGGGCCAGAAGCCGGTGGAGGCGGCCAAAACTCTAGACGCGTTTTGAGCTCCAGAGTCGCTAAATGGGACTCGAACCGAACGTGTGACCCCACCAATGGATTCCTCGTTCGGAGAGCAATCCATTGGTGGAGTCACACGTTCGGTTCGAGTCCCATTTAGCGACTCCGGAGCTCAAAACGCGTCTGGAGTCGTTGCTGCCACGGGGCCGCGGTGCGCGCGGGTGTAAGCTCATTCCGAGAGTCGTTTTCATCGCCCTGTCTCTCTCGCACTCATGGGGCGTCCCGTGTAGGTGCGAGAGAGACAGAGTGACGAGAACGACTCTCGGAATCAGTCTGCTGGCCGGGAAGAAACGCGATTCCCGCTCCGCCGTCGTGGCCTCGCCGGCCTCGGACATCAAATCGCATGTCCGCCCACCATTGTCTGCGAAAAAGGCAAAGTCGGGCGCAGCGCGAAGGTTAGGTGTGCAGCAGGGCAGCAAAGGTGTCCCGGCCCCGCCCCCGCCCAGGCCCCCGCGCCCCCTGCTGCGTCGACGGGGCGATCGACGATATGGGTGTGGGACCCAGGACCCGTCGCCTTCGTCCATCTGTCTCTCTCGCACCTATACGGGGTGCCCATGAGTGCAAGCGAGACGGAGCGACGCGAAAACGACTCTCGGAATCTACAGGCCGATGCTGGGCCGGACTTGAGGCCATCGCGTCTCTCGCACTTTGAAGCACCCCGAGGCGTCGCTGCGTTTTGAATCAATCAAGTTTGACGTTTGACTTCGTAAAATCTGACTTGCTTCAAGTCCAAAATTCCAGCCCAAGTCTGCGCGCGTTCTGGGTGTGGCGCTGCAGTCCGCAAGTCCCCTTGCACTCTGCATTTGAACCGCAGACTCCTCGTTACAGTGTGCTGGTCGCGCACTCCGCGCCGCGTTCCCTGCGCTTCTATTCACCTCTTTCTGCTCTGTCGTCTCTCTTTTCTCTTTTTTCCGCGGAACTCATTGTGGAGAGGCACAAGGAGAGGCGCACTGCTGGTGCCGCCTTGCTGTCCGAAGGTGCAACTTCTTCCACGGACTGGACTCCCCCCTCCACTCCCCCGCGCTCCCCCGATCGTGTGTTGTTCGTGTCTTTATCCCTGCTTTTGTGTGGAACATCGATCCACTCCAGTTCCATTTGAAATGCATGCACGGCCGCGCCAAGAGAGGCGGCTTGCGAGCCCCGCCCCGCCCCGCCCCGCCCCGCCCCGCCCGCCCGCCCCGCCCCGCCCCGCCCCGCCCCGCCCCGCCCGCCCCGCCCGCCCCGCCCGCCCGCCACGCCGAGCTTGTCCAGGACCAAGTTTTATCGCCTCACGGCCCTCGCAGGTTGCTTCCAGGATGCCTCCAGGATGCTCGACGGTGGCTGAGCAAGTCCGAAGGACCGCTCCGTCGCGCTGTCTCTGTCGCACTCATGAAGGGTCCACAGGAGTGCGAGAGAGACAGCGACGGAACGAGTGGCCGCACCTAGCCGCACCACCTGACAACTAGATCGCCTTATTGTGCCTCGACACTGCATCATCAGCATCTCTCTCTCTCTCTCTCTCTCTCTCTCTCTCTCTCTCTCTCTCTCTCTCTCTCTCTCTCTCTCTCTCTCTCTCTCTCGCACCCCGACGGCTTCGCCTCCGGCAAGCCCCATGAGTGCGAGAGAGACAGAGCGACGAAAGCAGTGTTGGGAGGCAGCCTGCTGGGGGTCACGCACGGGTCCTGGCCGCCAGTTTGGCGCGTCCCGGACCAATCTTGGACCGTCGGCGGGCACCTCGTACAGTACCTTTTACCTGGCCGCCGCCCTGGGCTGCCAGCCGGGCTGTCCGGGCTGTTTGTTCGATTGCGCCTGATTGCCGCGCTGCTGGCTGCCAGTGTGCTTGCCAGTGTGCTGCCGGCGTCCGGACACCTTTATCAAAATGTATAAGAGGGCGGTGCGGGGCGCTCGGACACCTGCAAGTCCCGGAGCAGGCCAACGAGGGACTAAGAGGGTGTTGCGCTGAACCAGCCGGACCGTGCCCGGCCCCACTTGGGGTCCGAGGCGGGCAGTGCCCCTCTGGGCCCCTCTGGGGCGCCCCGCCATGGCCCCGCCGCCCCGGGCGGTGGCGGTGCGCAGGGGGCGGGCACGGCGGAGGCGCGCGGGAAACCGCAGTGGAGCAGCGCCGCGTGGAGCAACCCCGCACAGCGTCTCTCTCTCTCTCTCTCTCTCTCTCTCTCTCTCTCTCTCTCTCTCTCTCTCTCTCTCTCTCTCTCTCTCTCTCTCTCTCCTCTCTCTCTCTCCTCTAAGGGACGCCCTGTGAGAGCGAGAGAGAGAGACAGAGCGACGTGCGGAATGAGCCCTGCAGGCGGTTACGCCCTTGCTGGTTCGGCAGTGTGTCCGCGCGAAGCGAAAAGCACGCCGCCGCCGGCCCACAATAACAACTCTCAAACGAGGCGAGAGGAAGGGGGTCCACTCTGCAGCAAACGCTTCTGGGAATAATCCGCGTTGATGTCTTTATTCGTATTAAGTCCGGCCGGGCCACGGCACGGCACGCCAGGGCACGCATGACACGCACGGCACGCACGCAACGGGACGCGGCGGCTGCAGGACAGGTTCTGCCGAGCGAAGAGTCGTTTCGTCGCTCTGTCTCTCTCGCACTCACGGGGCTCTCCGTGAGGGTGCGAGAGAGACAGAGCGACGAACCGCTCCTCCGAATCGCTGGGCAGTCCCGAGCGTCCCGACGTGCGGCGCCTCCAGTGCCGCCATCCTGCGGACAAATTATTTCAGCGCTTGTTCGGCGACATCGTCTCCCTCCCCGGTGGAATATAAGCCTCAGCCTCGTGAGTGTGCGTGTGCTCTGCTGAAGTTTCCACGAAAGTCGAGTAATCCTTTTTGCGCGAATTTCTGTACATTTGACGTCATCATCAATTTCTGAGATTTTGGTGTATTATGGTCGTTGGTCCATACGACTTGCTTATGACCTTGGTGATGAAGAAAGTCGAATTTCTTGTGTTTTTGCCAATTTTGAACGCGCGTAAATCGCCCTTCATATCCGCGCTCATATCATTTGATGTTCGTAAAATCTTTCATGCAAGCCTCGTGCTGTTTTGTAGTTGGTTGGGAATTTAATGAGTTGTCGTCAGTTCCATTTTAAAGACATTTATTTCAGGTTTTTTTTTGTAAGTATTTTTTTAAAGAGTGATACACGTGAAGCATATCCTACAAATCTTCGAAACTACAAACTAAATAATTCCCATCATTTTACACCACAGTCACACCATCTCAACTTTTTTGTGTTGTCGAACCACACTATCCTACATCGAATGTTAGCTAGGGTCACGAAACGCGCATAGAAATGCAAAGGGAGGTCCTGCCGAGGAGATTTGTATTTCGGCCAAGAACCAAGCGGCGAGAATGGAGCAGAAAATGACGAGGGAAAAAATAAGCTTCTCTGACAGAAACAGAATAACTAATATAATAAATAATGACATGACGAGGGAGGGGGAAAGAGAAATGATATGATTGTTTGACTCATTAGGTATACGAATCATTCTAATGAAGGCTGATAAATTGCGATATTAGTATTCTGACTTCGCCTTAGGCTATCACAAATAAAGTGGACAGTGACACATCGGATAAAGATTTCCGAAGCACATTTAGGTTTCATAAATTTGTTTTTTTTTTAACAATATACGATCTACGGCCCCGTCTATCCGACGACATGGCGGTAGCCGTGTCAACACACCAGACAGATCACTTTCTTTGAAACTCATGCTTTTCGCTTTGACCGCCGAACATAACCGCCCCCAGCCCAGAGCCAGGACTCCCAGGACTCCTTCCAGGACTACAGGTGCATGTGCGCGAGCACGACAGTGGGGCTCCGAACTGGGGGCGGCCGTTGCCATTGGCTTTTCGAACATCAACGCGTTCACTGACAATGGAAGAGTCTGAACCAGGACTTAAATTTTTGGTGAGGTATTCTGTAACCCCCAAACTTGGGTAAGAATTATTTCATTCGCCCAAAATCGCCCAAAATGTGGCATCGATCAAGAATCTTTCATTCTCAGTGCTTGGCTTCGTTCCGAACGGGTAGGCGAGCTAGGCGGCCTGGGGGAGGTCGAACTTCCACACGCGGTTGGGGCCGATCTCGGCCACGTAGAGGGCGCTGCCGTCGGGGGACACGGCCACGGAGTGCGGGTTGCTCATGCCCTGGAAAAGAATAGTAACACAAAATGACAACAACTTTCGTGTTTGAACGCACTTTTGCCAAAGACCCAGCGGACTGCATGAGGGCTCACCTGCGGCGGTCCCCACTTGTCGATGACGGACTCGGAGGCCGGGTCCAGGGTGAAGCCGGTGACCTTGATGTCCGAGGCCGTGTACCCGTTGACGGCGTAGATGTAGTCGCCTGCAACAGGAGAGCACGCGTCGAGTCAACCGGCGAGAACATCAACGCACAGTGGGCCAGAAGACCGGTGGAGGCGGTCAAACTCCCGAAACGCGTTTTGAGCTCCAGAGTCGCTAAATGGGACTCGAACCGAACGTGTGACCCCACCAATGGATTGCTCTCCGAACGAGGAATCCATTATTGGTGGGGTCACACGATCGGTTCGAGTCCCATTTAGCGACTCTGGAGCTCAAAACGCGTCCAGAGTTTTGGCCCACTGTGCGGCGAGGGAATCAACGCCCACCGCCACGACGCCGCGGCGCGACGCGGGGCGATGGCTTGGCGGCCACAATGCACCCAGCCAGCCGCCCCGCCCCACCCCGCCCCGCCCCGCCATTAGCATACAAGAGCGTGCGACACTTTGGGAGCGTCTGGTTTTGGTGTCGATTTACGCGACGCGGCGACGCCAACGCAGCGACACTGTCTTGAAGTACGTATTGTACTCTGGAATAAAACCATCAATCAGTTTCGTTTTACTATCCGACTCTTTTTGGAAACAGAAATGACGAAGCAGGGCGTTCTCCGCGTTGTCGACCGCGGCGGCCTCGGCGGCGGCCCCGGCGGCGGCCAAGGACCCCACACAACGAGTGCCATGTCAAAGGCGTGTTCCCTGTCGAACGGACGTCCGACTGTCAGAAGGGATTTCAATCGCCGCGGTGCCCCGCCCCGCCCCGCCCCACCGCGGCCACACACTGCTGGACGACAATATTATTGATAGATGGAGGATGAGCGCACGCGCCTACATAAGACGGTGCGGGGGTGGCGGGGCAGAGCGGGGCGGGGCGGGGCGAGGCGGGGCGGGGCGGGCCGGGCCAACAAAGCATGACAAAGGACCTCCCAGGGCACGCGGGGCCTATCGCGACGGGCATATCTCACCGCCTGTTAACCCGCGCGACCCCCGGCGACACCGCGGCCTGGAGAGTGACTATGGGGCTGGGAGGGCGAAGCTGGCGAAGCTGGCGAAGCGCAGTGACCACAGAGTAGTGCCTCACGGACATGAGACTGTCCTCTGCGGCTGCGTGGCTGCCTGCTCTCTGCCGCCACAGCCACAGGGACGTCGCAGCGCATCCAGGTCCAGGATGACGGCCTGACGGTCTGACGGCCTGCCGCCAAGCCGCCGCCCGTTCCCACGGCTGGGCCGGCGGCGGGGCGCGGGCGCGGGGCGGGGCGGATGGGGGTGGCGTGCCGCACGCCAGCACGCCACGCTCCTGCAGCAGCCCACCCAGGGCCTCCAGAACTCACGGCAGCGCGCCGGAGGCTGCGGCGGCGGCGCGGCGCTCTCGGATCCACCCGGAAGCTGGCCACCGCAGTGTGCCACCGCGGTTCCGGACAAGAAGACCCCCGGCAGCACGCCACCGCCGCCGTCGGAGCCACCCATGCCGCCGGCCCAGGCGTCTGGGATGCCTGCCTGTGCGTGGATTGCTCTGTTGCTCTGTGGGTCGCCTGTCTTTGGGTGGATTGCTCTGCGGGTCGGGTTGCCTGCCTTTGGGTGGATTACTCTGTTGCTCTGTGGGTTGCCTACATTCTGGCCCCACAGTGGAGGTCATGGCTGCTCATGGCCTGCGTGTGTGGGCCTGGCCGCCCTCCGCGCCCAATGGCCCAATGGCCCCGTGCCCTAATGGGCCGGGGGGGTCCCGGAAAGCTATGAAAGGGCCGGAAAGGGGTGCTTGTCACAAGTTTAGTGATGAAGTTTTGGCCCCCTCAGTACTACTCCCAAACAAGTTTAAAAAGGGCGACAATTAACTATTTTTGGACCGATTTGGCGTTGAGTCAGTTTAAAACGCTAAATAAAGCCTTAAAATGTGTTTAAATGTGAAATTTATGAGTAAAAGCAAGGTGTACTCACCCGTACTCATGTACTCATGTGTACACCAGAACGCAGAGTGATTCACCCCTCGCTCAAGGGCCCCGAAAGGCTGAAAAGGTCCCGGAAAGCTATGGAAATGGGACCGGATCTTTTAGGGCGACCCTTGTCCTTGTCACACAGATTTAGATGATTGAACCGTTTTGGTCTGGCCCCCTCGAGTCAACTCACGTCTCAAGAACGGCGAGCGTTCCGAACGTCACACATAAGACAACTGAATTTCACATTTCCTCTGGTACTCTTTCCCTGGTTTGCAAGACGTAAAGTGCACTTTGCTGGCCCCCACCGTCTGCTGGGCAAGCGCGGATCCCCCCGCTAGGAAGCGAGGGGGGGAGCGGAAAGCACCCCTGCCGCCCAAGGTCAAAACACCACTTTCCCCGTAAAAGGGCAAAGGGCGAACTTGCGCCCAGGGGGCGTCGGCCCCCATTGGGCGGGGGGGGGCGGGCCCGGCGGCGGCCCCCGGGGGCCCGGGCGCGGCAGGGGGTCCCCCCCCGGCGGGGGCCAGATGACGCGCAGGTTCTCGCGGTCCGCGATGCAGATCATGTCCAGGCGCTCCAGCAGCGCCAGCGAGTGCGGCACCTGCATACGGAGCGAGTCTGCAACAACAACAACAACAAGAGGACCGTCATTATGGGGAATGAGGCGCCAGGATGGCAACTGCAGCATGTCCGCAACAACAACAAGAGGACTACCATGCACAGCGGTTTCTGGGTTTTCCCAGGAACTCCCTGGAAATGGCATATATTTCTTTACTACAAGCTGAAGGAACCGTTTTTACCGCGTGATAGTGGGGGAATCAGGCGCAGGGCTGGCTCCACCATGTCTGCAACAACAACAACAAGGGCAGCGTCATTATGAGGAATTAGGCACCAGGATGGCACCACTCCCCGCCCCGCCTCGGTGAGACTCGTCGACGTGACTTATTCATATTGAGATTCGTATCGAGGTGATTGATCGGCATTTCCTCGTCCGGTCCTCGCCGGGTCCTCCGGGACTCTCGACTCTCTGGACGGCCGATGCGATCGCTGGCCGTGCAGACATCTGAGGCAGCGAGTCACCGTGACGGGGCGGCGCCACGCCGATCGTCGCTCTGTCTCTCTCGCACCCACAGGGCGCCCCGTCCGAGTGCGAGAGAGACAGCGCGACGAGGACGCTGTGTGGAATAATCAGTCTGCGGGGACGCCAGAGTGCCAGGGCCTCACTTTGCTGAAGATCCAGCCAGGGCCAGATATGCGCAGGACGACAAAACTTGAAGGTCGAATTTGAAACTGAAGTTCTGAATTGTTTCATCTCCCTAAACTGAACTGGCATCACCAAGCCCTCATGTTCGATGCATATGTATTTCTAGCTTTATTTTTCGGCTCAGTCTAATCAGCGTTGTCTAAGAGTGCTTGAGTAAATTTCGTATGACCCCATGGACCCTCCCCCTCCACACTTCCTCTTTTCGGCTGCCTGGCGGCCTGACGGCCTGACGGCGTGGCAGGCTGTATAATTTAACTGCCGTGCGGATTAAGACGGGGATTTCGGCGTAAAGGTTATTATGATTGTCCCGGGAACTGGTTATACTACACGCCGGTCCGGCCGTCCTGCCGATGGTCGCCGACGGCCTGGCGGTCGCGGTGAATCTGCCGCAGACTGATTCCGAGTCGTTTTCGTCGCTCTGTCTCTCTCGCACCTATACGGGACGCCGCATGAGTGCGAGAGAGACAGAGCGATGAAAGTGACTTCTAACCAGCCGGAAACACTCTCGGGGCGCACAGTGGGCCGGAGTACTGGAGGCGGTCAAAATCCTGAACGCGTTTTGAGCTCCAGCTTCGCTAAATGGGACTCGAACCGAACGTGTGACCCCGCCAATCCGCCAATGGACTGCTCTCCGAACGAGGAATCCATTGGTGGGGTCACACGCTTAGTTCGAGGCCTGTTTAGCGACTATGGAGCTCAAAACGCGTCTAAAGTCTTGGTGGTTGGTCCTCTGACCCACTGTGCGCGGCGGAAAGCACAGTGGAAAGTGCGTCCAGTCCCGGGAGTCGAGTGCGTGCGTTTGCGTTGCGTGGTGCGGCGGCGAGAGCGTTTAGCGCGGGTTTTATAATTCGGCCGCCCATTAAAAGCATTGGAAACGCTCAATAACGCAGAGGCGGCTCATTTACGCAAGACTGGTAATCGAGCCAGTCATTATCGCCGCGGGGAGACGCGGTGGGCAGTGCCGCAAGCACACTGATTCCGAGAGTCGTTTTCGTCGCTCTGTCTCTCTCGCACCCATACGGGACGCCCCATGAGTGCGAGAGAGACACAGCGACGAAAACGACTCTCGGAATCAGTGTGCAGCGATGGTGCGATATGTCCGCGTGAGTTACGGCCCCCTCCTGGCCCCGCCCCTCCGGCCCGGGGTGTCCCTCTCATTTGAATCACGCGCTTCTTTCTAATTTGCAGAAAATTGTGCACAGCCGCCTCCACTGACATTTTTATTGGCCCCAGTGCCGTGTCGAACCCGCTCCTTGCTTAGGACCTCCTCCCGTCCTTGACAGGGCGTCGCGTTGTCGGAGAGTGTGCGAGGCGTGTACAGTCCGAGCGGAAACACCTGGCCGGGCCAGTCCTGGCCACTTTGCACCTGGCGGACGCCAGCGGACGGGGAGGGGAGTCGTCCGCGTGCCACACTGTACCAGGCTGTACTCCGTGCGTGCCGCGTGGCCGCGTGCGAGCGAGTGTTTGCACTCGGTACACTGACGCGACGCCGTTGGCACGCCCCGCCATGCACCGCCACTCCGCCTTGTTTTCTTTCGTCTGTCCGTCCGTTCTGCGTCCGTTCGCCCGTCCCGTGTCTGTGCTACGTCCGTCCTGCGTCCGTTCAGAGTCTGTTCGCCGGGTGTGTCTGTCCAGAGTCCAGAGTCCTGCGTCCTGTCCTGCGTCTGTCCAGAGTCTGTTCGTCGGTTCTGTCTGTCTGTCTGTCTGTCTGTCTGTCTGTCTGTCTGTCTGTCTGTCTGTCTGTCTGTCTGTCTGTCTGTCTGTCTGTCTGTCTGTCTGTCTGTCTGTCTTTCTGTCCGTCCGTCCGTCCGCCCTTCCGCCGGCCCCGCACCTCCACGTCATCAATCATGGCCTCTCATCGGCTACCTGGTGCCCGCGCCAAGCCAAGCCGCGCACCTTCCTGGAATCCACTGCCCCCTACGGACAGCGCTGAGTGTCCCCCTATTCACGTTCCGACGCCCCCCCCCTCCCCCTCCCCCTCCCCAGCGCCCCGTCGCCCCATCCGGGGCCCTATAACAAGTCTAATTTATTCTTTCCCAGATCCACACGTTCGTGGTAAACACCTTGCCGCGCGGCTCCAGCAGTGCCCCAGCACCACTACACCGTCAGGCTGGAGCCTCCAGTCGCCAGCAGCCATCGGTTTGAGAAACTGTCGACGGGGAAGGCTTTTCCGCCTCATTAGTCGCAGTAGGCTCGATCCGAACAGCGCTCTCGCCGCGCCGTCTCTCTCGCACCCCGTCGAGACGCCCCGCGAGTGCGAGAGAGACGGAACGGCGAAAGCGCTCGACGGACCGCACTGCGCACTCCAGCTGCTGTGTCCGATCAGTCGATCCCTTTCGATCCTATCGAACAGGGGGATTATTTGGCCGCCTCGAGTTGAGCGAGGCCCGGCCGTATGTAAACAGAATAAAAAGGTGAATCAGTGGCGTCCTTGAAACCGGACACCTTATCGGGGCGAACGAGGCGAACGGCGGTAAGCCGAGCCGCTTGGCCTAGTGCAGTGGGCAGCGCGTAATGGCCGGGCATTAGATCGCACAGTGCAGTGGCTGGCCAGTGGCGCGGCCGATCAACTGTGGTCCGGTCCAGCCACCAGTTCAAGTTCAAGGCCTGAGCGCACTCACAGCGCCGAGAACCGTGCGGCGCCACTGCCAAATTCATTGTATTAGAATTTTATGAGTGCGGTTGCGGGTCACACATACAGTGCAGTGCACTCTACTCACCCTCCTCCTCAGGATACATCCGCAGCAGCACCCCGGCCGGGTCGTACTTGAGGACGCGCGAGTTGCAGTAGCCGTCCGCCACGAAGATCTCCCCCGTGGTGGCCACCGCCACGTCCGTCGGCATGCAGAACTGGTGCTTGCTGCTGCCCGGCGAGAACCGCTGGCCCAGGGTCAGGTTGGGCTTGATGGCGCCGGGAGCGAACTGCGAGAGGAAGAATGCATTTCAAACGTTGCGCGCGCACTGCCGCCAAGGCCGGCGCACAGTGGGCCAGAAGACCGGTGGAGCGGCCAAAATTCTGGACGCGTTTTGAGCTCCTGAGTCGCTAAATGGGACTCGAACCGAACGTGTGACCCTGCCAATGGATTGCTCTCCGAACGAGGAATCCATTGGTGGGGTCACACGATCAGTTCGAGTCCCATTTAGCGACTCTGGAGCTCAAAACGCGTCTAGAATTTTGGCCGCCTCCACCGGTCTTCTGGCCCACTGTGCGGCGCGGATCCAGCGGGGGGCAAAGGGACAATTGCCCCCTCGATAGCCGCCTGAAATGTACGCGCAAAAAGCCGCACTTTGCCCGTGTAATGGGGCAAAAAGTGATACTTTGCCACCTCCTTCAGGCCGGCTCTGGACCCGCCACTGCGCCGAGAATAAGTACTGACCTTGAACACCTGGTGCAGGGCCACGTCGGTGAGCCAGGTGTTGCCTCGGTTGTCGATGGTGATGGAGTGCGGCATGAAGAACAGGTCCCTGCCCCAGCCCGTGAGCACATCGCCGTTGTCAGGGTCCAGGGTGAGCACGGTGTCCTCCGGTATGGGGCCCTCCTCCACCAGCAAGAAATGGTTCGTCCTGTTGAAGGAGCTGCGCAAGAAGAGAGGCACGGTTTTAGCACGGAGTTCATGGGTCACCTTCTGCGGCGCACAGTGGGTCAGAAGACCGGTGGGGGCGGCCAAAATCCCGGACGCGTTTGGAGCTCCAGAGTCGCTAAATGGGACTCGAACAAAACATGTGACCCCCACCTATGGATTGCTCTCCGAACGAGGAATCCTTGGATGGGGTCACACGTTTGGTTCGAGTCCTGTTTGCGACTCTGAAGCTCAAAGCGCGTCTATAATTTTGTCCGCCTCTACCGGTTGTCCCACTGCGACGTCGAGTACAGTACACTCGCTACACTCACTTGTTGTCGAACACCCTGGCGCCGCGGTGGAAGACGACGGGGAAGCCGTTGAGCGCCACGGCCACGCCGGCCACCTGTCCGAGCGGCGGCGGCCCGTGCAGCGGCCAGGACGGCACGACGCGGGGGTGGGCGGGGGCGGGGGCGGCGTTCAGCTCGGGGCCGCAGGGCTCGCCGCGCTGGAACACATCGTCAGGCAATCAAAAACAGAAACATTGCAGCGTTTATCGAAATGCGGGATGCAAGGATAACACGGGAAAGAATATTTATTTATGCCACTTTCTCTGAATTGAATGAAAAATAACATGCTTAAAACGGTTCCTGGTTTCCCCAGGGACTCCCTGGAAATCGTCTCCATCTTTCCGATAGGCTACCATGGAAAACCAGGAACCCTTTCGGCCGCGAATTTGACGAAGCAGATTTGATTAAGCCTAGTCTAGGCCTAATGGCTGGCGCTCGCATATGACGTTTCCAGGATCCCGGTTCGGATCTTATGGCCGAGACGTCTTCGTCGCAATTTTTCCTCACAAATTTAAAATTTACAGTCACGATTTGCGAATAATCATCGAAACGGGCTTCGTCTTTTCGAAGTGCTCGTCAGGTACACCCGAAGGTGGCAGGTGGCGGCCCATATGTTGCCCGCGCCCCTTGGCGGGGCCCCGCCGCGGCCTTGCACGGCCCGCCAACGCGCAGCCACGCGCAGCGCGCCATAAAGTCAACACGACGCGGGGCGTGCTCGATAAGGTGAAATAAATGAAGCCCACGGAGCACTCGGCGCCGTATCGGCTTGGCGGCGGCCCCGTCCGCAGTGCTGCGCAGCAGGACAGCCACCCCGCGGCGCGCGCCGCCAGGCCTCGCACGTCGATACCGCGTCGGACCGAGACTCGGACCCACCTGGTGCATCGCCCTGCGCATCGTCAGCAGCTCCCGGATCTCGGCGTACAGCTCCGAGCTGAGGTCGTGGACGTTGCTGACGGCGCGGGCTATCCCCTCGTCCGGGAGGTTGCCCAGGACGACGAACAGGGCCAGCAGGGCCGCCGGCCACCACCGCCGTTTCTTCGCCATCTTTGTTTTGAGGCCTGGGCTGCCCTCGTTCAGCGTGCCTTGCTTCGCCCGCGCTGCTCCGCGCTCGGCACTGCTGGCTGCTTGGCGCGCCCCCCGCGCGGCGGCGCCACCGTCGCCCCGCCCGCCACCACCCCCACCCCCTGGAGAGCCTGCTGGCGGCCAGCGGCCTGACTCCGAGAGTCGTTTTCGTCGCTCTGTCTCTATCGCGCTTATACGGGGCACCCCGTGGGTGCGAGAGGGACAGAGCGACGGAAACGACTCTCGGAATCGGTCTGCTGGCGGCCAGGGCGCACGCGCGACGCGTGGGCGAGGAGCGGCGCCCACCCTCGGCCGCCCTCGGCCTGTAGCGCCCCACGCGGATTCGGGCCCAACTAGCAGCTGCATTCGCAGCCGCGCAGCCTGGTCACGAGTCAAACAAGTCAAGGACTTTGGGTGGGCGGAGCGGAGCGCCTTTCGCTGTAACTTACTCATTAGCGCCTGGGTGCACATTTGAAGCACTCTCCGTTTGTCACGAGAGTCGCGGCAAACAAGCTGCCCCGTGTCGCATGCGTGCACCTTGCTTCAAGGCGCGTTCTGGAACTGATTTCGTGTCCTGGGTTCGATCAATCACTGCTTAAATCGGCGAATTCTTTGAATTGAGCGGACAAAGTAGAGGGTGGGTCGTACGGAAAGTTGTCTTAATCAGGGCGTAACGGACCTACTCCTCCACGTCGCTGAAGCTGCACGCATGTGTGCATGTACGTTGGCCCGCCATGGTACAACAGGTCCCCCCCCCTCCCCCACTGCCACCCACCTTAGGCCATATGACCTTACACCCACAGACCGCCCTTAGGGCAAGCTGCGCTGCAAGGCAGGGCCCGCAGCGCTTACATATGACCTGACGCAGGGCTCCCCACGCAGCCCGCAGCGCACGGCGAGCGCCCGCGCAGCAGCGCTTAGGCCACGGCTAGGCGGAAGTGCACGTTGGGTTGCCTATCCTCACGGCGCTCCGTGCGGCAGTTTTGCACATTTGAGCAGACAGGCTGCGTCTTGTGTGGATGGGCGATGAGGAAATGACAGAAATGAGACAGAAACGGTGTGAGGAAGACGACAACTGTATTTGCTAGAACCTGGCTGGAGGCCTCCCCAGCAACAATACAACAAACTTACAAAAATTAACACATCATCATATTGTTTAGCACAATGTTGAGCTATCTCTATGGATACAGTACTCGAAAGGAAACCGACACGTCGAGCCGTGCCGAGCCGGAGGCAGTAAGGGGTTAGGGCAGTGGATAAATTATTGAACGTGAGAAATTGCAACCGTCTCCTAGCCGCATTTCAAGTGTTGCCAGTGGCAGGTAACTTCGTTTGCTAGCAGGCATGGCCCGAATAAAGTGGCACGTTGCTGCCTCTTTGGTACTGGCAACACTGCCTGCATCTCTTTCTGTCTTTCTGTCCTCTCGGCAAAGATCAGACCGACAGCAGGTTGGTGCCGAACAACGGTGCTATGGTCGTTCTGTCCCTCTCGCACTCATGGGGCGTTCCGCAGGGGTGCGAGAGAGCGAGAGCGCCGAAAACACAGCGCAGCATCGCTTTGCTGTTGTCATCGAAACAGTCCGAGCGCTTAGAAGACATGAGCGCCTGAGACCGACAACTCCATCACCCACAGGCACAGTGGGCCAGATGACCGGCGCCTGCGGCCAAAGCTCTAGACGCGTTTTGAGCTCCAGAGGCGCTAAATGGGACGTGAACCGTGCATGTGACCACCACTAATTGACTCCTCGTTCAGAGAGCAATCCATGGGTGGGGTAACACGTCCGGTTCGAGTCCCATTGAGCGACTCTGGAGCTCAAAACGCGTCCGGGATTTCGACCGCCTCCACCAGTCTTCTGGCACCCTGTGCCGGCTGTCAGGGCCTTCGGGTCCCTTCGGGTTCCTTCGGGTTCAGGCCCCCGCGGCCGAGGCGGGCGCGGCGGCGGCAGAGCCTCCCCAGCCGGGCTGCGTCCAGATGTAGCCCGTGCCCGTCACCGTGCAGTACGCGTTGTAGTAGCGGCCCGGCGACCGGCAGTAGGACCACTGCGGGCACTTGCAGCGGAACTGCGTCTGGAACTCCTCCTTGCAGATCTCGTTCCACCAGCAGGCGCGCTGGAACATCCAAGCAGGGGGGGGTCACGCGCAAGAAGAAGAGCCCTGGCCCCTCGCAGCCCCAGCAGACTGATTCCCAGAGTCGTTCACGTCGCTCTGTCTCTCTCGCACCTATACTGGGCGCTCCATGAGTGCGAGAGAGACAGCGACGAAAACGAAGCGCGGACCGGTTCGCGCTGGTTCGCGCTGCAGCCATCGATCTGCCAGTGCCGTCCGCCCCCACGGCCCCTCGGCCGCGTCCTCCCAGTCCCAGTTGCAGCCGCCCGCTGCAGCGCGTCCCCGCGGCCCCGGGCGGGGTAGGGCGGGGTGGGTGGCGGCGCGGCGTGGCGGCGCCTCACTCACCTCTGTCAAGTAGCCGCGCACGGATTGATCGTTGTAGCTGCGCTTGGCGACGATGGCCGCGGCGTCCGCGCTGGTGGGGGCGTGGAGCAGCAGCAGCACCAGGGACAGCAGTGGCAGCAACAGGGCCAGGCACCCGTCCAGCCCCTTGGCGCGCGGCCACACGCACGCCGCGGACTGCGGACAACGCCATGACGGGGTTATGTAGTGCTGCGCACTCATTCCGAGAGTCGTGTTCGTCGCTCTGTCTCTCTCGCAGTCGCGAGGCGTCCCGCGTAGGTGCGAGGGGGACAGCGACGAAAACGACTCTCGGGATCAGTCTGCAGGTGCGCGGCGCGCGCAAGGACTCACCTTCCCCGCGGGCCTCGGCGAGGTCGCCGCTGCGGCCGCGGTCATGGCGGCCCGGCGTCGAAGTCGCGGCTAGCGAGGGACTCCGGCCTGCTCCGGTTCGTGCTGTCCGAGGCGGAGCGCGGGGTCCGCGACGAGCCGCGCAGCGTTTCCTCTCCTCGCGTGTCCGGGCGGCGTGCTGCGCGTCGGGCCAGGCGTCGGCCCCGTTTGGCGAGGCGAGGCGCGGCCCTGCTGCTACACTGCTCGGGGGAGGACGCGGGCAGCACTGCCTTGGCGGGCCGAGGGGCCGCGGGGCCGCGGGGGCGCGGGCGGCCGAGGGGATGCGGGATGCTGGAGGCTGTGCAGCGAGGATCCAAGGAGGGGGTGCGTTGCTAGGCGACCGGACCGGGCCCTCCCCGCGGCGCCGCGCCAGCCTGGCCAGGGCCCAGGCCCGCCAGGGTTGCGTTGGGGTAGTTGGGCCCAGCCCCCCCCCCCCCCCCCCCCGGGGGGGCCTCGCCAAGCGTGCGATCGGAGAGTACCTACTCACTGCGAACAGAGCGGAGTACCTGTGGGGTGGCGACGCCCTATAGCGTGCCTGACAAGGGGTGAAGGCGGAGTATGACGTCACCGCGACCCAATGAGGCTCGCGGGGTCCAGCGGGCGCACTGTGTCGTTGCCGGCCCAGGGTGCACGGCGGCACGGCTGGCGTAGGCCAGGAAGAGGTTCAAAAAATTAAAATGAAAATCAATATGGTGACATGATGTTTTTATGAATAAAGGAAACAAGTACTAGACTTCAATTTAATCTTTTATTGTGCACTTTGCATAATATCTTGACGGTGCGTTTTCCACAAATTTCAGAATCTTTCTTCGCTTAGTATTAATTTAATGTTTTGACCTCGTGTGCCCACCTAATTTTGTGTCTGGGCCAAGAATTTCTTACTGTTTGCCCTTATTACTTCATGGATTCCACAGGTTTTCACAAATTTGATAAATAATAAACTTAAGGCTGATTCAATACAAGAGAGTTCTACTGAAAGTTACAGACGCATTAGAACCACGGATATTATTGTCTTGCTGCAAATTATTGTACCATCGGGAAAGATGAACGAACTGCTCCTTCTCTTGGAATGTGAAGTTACTCTGAAACAAAATGCAGAAACAAAGTGATTGTCAAAACACAATTATAATAAAATAAATGAAAATACATCAAAGCATTATCAGTAAATTTAATTGAAACCTATACCATGACACACGACATGGAAAAGTGCTTAACTTACCACAGTTTTGAATAAGAGATGGTAAAGGACTATGTCAGCCAGAGACTTAAAATTGCCAGCAATATAAGTTCGATCCGCCAAAGTGGCATTAACATCCTGTAAAGATAAGAAAATAATAATAATCTCTGGTGGACAGAGGATAACAACATGACACAAGTGTCAAGTAATATACAATCTTAGGAAAAAAAACAACAGGCCTTACCTTTAAAATTTGCTTGGAAACATGAGGTACATCTACATAATTGGCGCTAGATGCAGCGTAATCCATCCATTGGCGGACTAGTGCTTGTTCTTCCAAGGTGTTACCAAGCAACTGTTTATTGTTTGTCTTAGCAAGAGTGACAAGTGAGGAAGAAAATCCAGGCACACTGCCATCGTGAGTTTTGTGTTGCAAAACAGGAATCTGCAAAAGAGTTCAATAGAACCCTAAGTACCCAGAAATAATACTAACAGGAATGCTAAATAAGAAAACGCAATACACACTTTCTTCACATCAACTGAATTGGACTTTGTTACTTTAATGCTACTGCATATTTTGTTGAAGTTTTCAATATTACACTGGACCATATTGACTATGAGGAAGATATTTCAAGACGTTGACAAAGCTTTCTAACCTCCTTGCCAACAAGGTTCGTTTGTGTTTTCTGCTAGGAGAGTAAGCAGTGTGTTAGATAAGGCGGTGACATGAGGCGGCGGTGCTGCTGTCGTCTGCTCTTGTTGATATTTTTATTTTTCGCAGGTGGCCGGTGGGTGCCGGTACAATCAGAAAGTTACACACAGCCTGCCTGTAGGAGAGAGAGAGTTTTGATTTGAAAATAATCTCTGAAAGCAGAAAGCTCCTCCAGCACTGATACAACAATGACGTTTGATGTGGTTGTGTCTCAAGAAGCGCCACTCAAAATATTAGCCAAAGACCTTCGAACACTAGCTGTGAACCAGGCCAAAGGATTCCCTTGGAGAATCAAGTTTGCCCCTGATAATTTGATCAGACGCACTGTGGTTGTTGAATTTAGCCAGGTCTGGCTTCAGGGTTCTATTAAGAGCTGTAGTGGTGATGGAGACGTCTTGACGATCAACGATGGCAGTGGAGACATTCGTGTGACAAAGTGCTCCAGGGCTCCAGGGTTCCAGGGGCCCCAGAGCTTAAGTTTAAGTTCAGGTATTATTAAGTTTTGTATGTATTTTTGTTAGAGGACGAGACTGCTCTCTCTTTTCCAGCTGGTTTTGCCATCTAGTTGTTAACAACAAGTATCTTTCTAGGTTCGTACTGGGCAATTCACGCCTGTGTAAAACTACCCTTCAAGTCTCCTCCCGAAGTTGAAGCAGTCAAGCTCATGCAAATTTTGGAGACAAGAAGTGAGGCTAAAAGCATGTGGCCCTTGGAGGTTCAAGAACTTACCGACCTCCTCAGGGGCAAAGTCACCTTTAATATGTGATTTTACTAAATGTAACTTTTGAATGAAGCATGATTCTGAACAGGAAGTTTTTATAAGAACAACACAAAATTAAAGTGTCTTGAAAAATATATTTTGTTTAAGATTCGCTTGCAAGAGTTCTTGATTGGTACATTCTCAGGGTTTTGGTCGAATGGTACAATGCAGCAGAAGCAGATCCATTGTAATATATGAGTGATCACACATGTGATGCTAATTAGCTTTAAAATTTTAAGACAGACTAAATATAAGTACTTGGTTATTTGACCAGCTGATTGTAATACGATCATTTAAAGCACTATTTTAATACAGTAGTCATAGCTTCAAGATTATGCAAACACAAACCCACAGCTACAGTTAAAGTGCAAGAAAGAATTAACACAGAATGGATAGAGGTTTGATTGACCAGCCATCTTTGTCAAGCACTTGTAAGAAAGAATTTAAAAGTGTGTTAATACAACACAGGTGGTAGTATAGATGAAATGGGGTGATAAGTCACCTGTATCATCACAACTTTAACAAAACAAGATAAAGACAAACTGAGGCAGCTATCATGAAGCATCAAATTATTTATGCCAATCTGATCAGTCAAATTACAGTCTAGATAAAATATCAACAAAATCTAAATCATAACAGAAATTCTACATGTGGTAATTCATATTGTATGCAACTTTTAGCAAACTTTGGTTCAGAAACAGAGCAAAGCAAAGCACACACAACTAATCCAGACCTGAATTTCGTCCGGCGAAATCAGTACAGAGTATATAATAATACAAAGCAACACAATAATTAAAAATTTTGATGTCATCTACATCAAATAAACAATAAAAGTATTTACAGATAAAACAGGATAAATTATTCTTAATAAGATATTATCACAAAACTTTACAATGGAATAGGCATGTCAATGTTTTAGGTAGGAAAATGTACAAGACACAAATTTCAGTCAACTTCATATGACAAAATATAAAAACAAAAGATTGCCTAGATCCTCTTTGTAAAACAAAAGAATTAAGTTCAAAGACATACAGTTGGATCAAAGGGCAAGACACTGACTTAAAACAAAAATACAAAATCAGAGCAATCTTGCCAATGTAATGGCTCAGATCCTGCAGAATTCAAAACATCATGATTTTGTACTGCACACTAAGTCCACATAATGACGAAAGCATCACATGAGTTAAAGCCAGTGCGCACTATTCGCTGCTATCTCTTTCCCTTTGGCAGTTATATCTGAGTTATGAGAAACAACATAATAAGTAGGTGATAACACATAAAGCTGTTATTTTCCCTAACAAAGGCACATTAAGCACTTAAAAAAACAATTCAGAGTGCTTTGTGACACAAGACTTCTGTTTCATGAGTATTACATGCAAACTGCTGCAGAAAGTGAACAAAAATTCATTTACATATGTTTGTACTATCTACAGTTCATACAACCTCATTGGCACAATATCATCAATCCATATACAATGGAAATTTTGAAATTACAATTTATTATCGTTAAGAAGGGGCCATGAGTTATACATAGAGAGGGACACAAAATTAACAATGAGCACACAAAGAGGAAAATTATGAGAAGTGAGCAGTCTTAACTTGCAGTTTCATTCTGAGTTTCAGTACTACGATAATGTCTTAGTCCACAGTTCAGACCAATCACACGCTTGCACATCTATGTTGCAAATGTGCTTTGCTGTCAATCACAGCTCATTCTCCAACACTTCACACACGTGTCGCCATGTAAAAAAATCTCACAATTATATAAATAGTGCATCAAAAGAAGACTTGGTGCAAAACTGAAATGTTTATCTATAGTTAATTTACCCCATATCAAGAAGGACACCTAACAATGCACAAATACACCAATACAAGTCAGATTACCTGCTATATTGTTCCCACTCCCATAGAAATTAATACAGCACAGGCTCTGAATGAAATATTATTGCTAGTAATTTCAGAAAAATCTGGGATGGATGGAATGGATAAACAAAAGCCTTACTTCAAAGCAAAGCCAACCTTCAAAATATACACAGACACATTTACATCTTCAGCATTTAAAAAAACCCCAAAACAACAAATCTCATTTTCCATGGGATTTTATTTGAGCAGCAATGCATTACGTAACTAATTGAATTGAATATGTACAGACAGAGCAGTGGTTTGAAAGGGAGGGTAAAACACCACCAGAAAGCACCATTAAAATAGGGGGGAAATTTTAGAAAAAAGGCACTTGGACATATTGCAGTCCTGAAAACGATGCCACAAAAAGTTCTACAAATTTGTGGTGCCTAAAAACTCAAATGAGAAAATTTGAGCAGAATAAGTAGGGGGTCTTTTGGGGGACGGCTTCTAGTACATTTAGTATTATTAATAACAACTGAATGTTCGTCTAACAAGGGTGTTCACTCACTGGCCATGGTCTGTAGTTTTAGAATTTGAGAGCCAAAGTACACTAAAAGGGATTAAATTTAATAATTACAGTTTTGAGGACAGAGGACGGCCTTCTACTGGAGTTTGAAAACGCCAAACAAACTAAGGGGCATCTTTTCTTCCTTTGTGAAGGAGCATAATACTAGCCTTCGACCTAAACCCAATCTCAAAAGGAGAGCTCTGTTGTAACAATAAGGCACATTCATCACACCACAATAACAAACATTCTGAGCATAATACACCTGGTCTCAAGAAGAGACAGCAAATAAAGTAAAGCAAAGAGCGAGTGCCGTTCCTTCATACACATTCTTTGCATATAACTAGTTGCTATTATTTAGTTTTATAAACTTCATGGCACATTTTCCAAATTTTAGGTAAGTTTTAAGTAATGTTAATATATAAACAGCTACTGTAACACCTGAAATAGGCAGTATTGTCAAGAAATTGAATATATGATGCATGCAATTTATGTACACAACTTCGCGCACATGTTCTAAACTATGTTCATCATACATCATACGCAAATGCACCACATCTGGCCCAAAATAAATGCTCTGCATTAGAGAAACTTTAGTTTGGATGGAAATGTGATGTTAGTGCTTCTTGAGATATACTTTTAAACAGCAAATACATAGAAATGTGCTGTTGAGCAAATGAATACCTTGATTAAATATTCTGCAGCCATTAGACATGCTGTAGCCCAATGCTGAGGATGACTGATAATTGCAATTATAACAACATGGTAGCAGGAGTGAATACTCCATATTAGCAGAGCATATTGTTTTCCTTTAACCTAGATCCAAAAGTGTATTGACCTATCCATGCCTGACCAGAAGATTTTCAGAAACACTCTACCTATGAAATGATACAACCCGCCTCAGCTTCTGGCTTTGCCTCAAGGGGCAGTGGGTACGAGTCATCTCCCTTTCCAACATCAACACCCTCTTGAACAATATCAACCCCACTTTCTTGAGCAGAAACTCCAGAGCTAGGGCAAGGGCCCGTGGTGACTGTTGACGAACTGCTGGCTGTATCAGATCGGGGTCGGCTACTACTTGGTGTCACCACAGCACGCTCCACTTTGGCCAAAGACACCTCAGAATTGTAACATTCCTAAAATAATAAACAGAAATTGTAAAAAATAAAGGACTTTTATTTTAATGTTTCAAAATTAGAATTAAGGAAGAGAAGAGGTTGGGACCATTGAAAGAAGGAAATACATAAACTTAATACATACCTGATTGGCGCTATCATCAATAGGGTAAGCATTATTAGAAGTAGGTGGTGGAGTCCCTTGCAACAAACTCTGTTGATGCAGTTGTTGATGAAGTTGAAACTGCTGGAGTTGGTGTTGTTGCTGTTTACTAGTCATTAACTTTGTGAGAACTCCAACTTGGCCCTGAATTGCCATCATGAACGGTTTATACCCCAGGCTGCAAAAATGAATTAACACAAATGTGTTTTAAAATTCTCCACGGAAATAAGGATAATACTTGTGAAAAAACTTCACAGTTTCTTGCACACCCACCATTCTGTGTTACTCCAACTTGTGAGTGTAGTAATGGTATCCCGCAGTCGAAGCACACAAGTGTATGACTGGGATGGGGCACGTGCAGCAGCTGTTGTTCGGACAACTGCCATGGCATCATGAAGTAAAATAGCTAAAATCAAAGCCCACTCAAGACACCCAGCTTCTGTCATCAATTGAAGGAGATATCTGAAAGGAAATAATGACAATAGTAATGAATAGAATGAATTAAAGCTTGGACAGACGATTCAATCATATAATATACTGCCACAGATTTCAAATAAATCATTACCTCAACTGAACTTCAGATTTCTGTGAACCTTTATTGGATGATTCAGTGTTTAATTGCTCAAGGGTGCTAGTCATGTCTGCAGCAGCATGACTCCATGTACCGCTGGCATCATCTGGAGAGTATTGCCCTCTCTCTCGTTCTTTTTCATCTCCCCAGTACGAGCTTTCCTCACTAACAATGCTTCGATCATCTGTAAAATAAAATTAAAACATAACACAGATGATGAAGCTTTTGAAACATCAAACCTATGCACCTATAATGCATACCTGCAATGGTGTGAGGAACAAGCCTCGCTTCCTCGATGCAACTTGGACTAGTGAGGTACTCGGAGTAGTTGTGAGGAAGAAGTCTATTAGGGACCCCAGACTGGCTCATGTAACCACTATCACCTATCCGACTGCCACTTCCTAAATTTCCAACAACACCTGTCGGTAAGCTGGTGACGTCGATGCTGAGAGACTGCAAATGCTCCTCTGTGAGAATACCTGCAAAAATAAGACCATGGATACTGCACGGGCCACACACAATGTATGGGAAAAGTTAGTCGACATGAGGGGAACTTGCTCGTACTCGACTTGTTCCTGTCCAGGCAATGCGCCAGGGGAGACAGCACTGCTGGGTGGGGCCAGCTGAAGTCGGAGTGCAGCTGCTGCAGCGAGGCCACCGGGTCGTCCACGCGGGCCGCCCTGTCGCGCTCTCGCGCCAGCCACGCCACGAGGTGGAAGTCGAGCCGCGCGGCAAAGCGACCCAAGTCAGCCAAACGGCGCGCCGAGAGCAACCGGCGAGCGTGCCTCTGGAGAATCACGTCCATGAAAAACTCTTCCGCAGAGCCAGAGATATCCCTGCGCAACAGAAAAGATATTCGTCATGTTTGTACATATCTTACATGGTTGGAATGTTTATTTATTCTGTTCACATGATACAGGTTTATTAGGCAAACATTACCTTGAGTCTCCTCTTCCAGTGGGAACAGATTTCTTACGACGCAGAGGTACAGCTACTCCTGGCGTGGGAGCTGGAGCTCCTGGGAGTCCTTTCAAAATGCTGTCACGCCGTAAAGGTAACAAATTGCTTCCCTCCTTTGATCCTACATCAAGTTTGGGCGTAAGGGTAGTGCTGAAACTGCGCCCTCTTGAGAGCTGCAAAATATTACATGAATTAGCAATTAATAAAATAACAAGATGAAACCAATAAGACCAATAAGATAGATATTTACATGCATGGTGCCAAGAACAAGGGTAAGGTCCTCTTGACTTGGACTGAGAGGAGGAGACTGCGGACTTAAACCATAGCGCAGAGTGGGGCCTGGTAGGACAAAGGATGCTCGTGGAGACTCCACATCATTGGGGTCTGTAAACAAATAAGACACAAAGTAAATACAATGCCACACGAGCATTCCTTTATAAAGTCAAGAGCAAAAATACTTGCCAATGGCTCTTAAAAATCGAACTAAATCCTTAGAAAGCTCCCAGTGACAGTTTTCAAGAGCTGCATCTAACAGAAGTGTAGCATATTGCCGACTTACGGATGATGGCTCCAGATTCTAGAAAATGGGACAATTAATAAAACACTTGCCATTTGTAAAATTATTCTGATCTGATTCTCTCTTGAATTTGAAAATTACCTGAAGTATAATTAAATATGAAGCAGCAGTATCAAGCTGCCTTCTAGCCAAACACTCTTGAAAGAGGTCTTTGGGTTTGCCTGCAGCAGCAAAAAGGTACGGCCATAATGCAATTTCAGTTTTCCTTGCACAATGAGCAACTGTTTCTAAGTAGACTGGGAACTCTTGAATGAACTCAACTACACTAGGCAACAAAGCATCAGGAATAGGTTGTTTGCTTGTTGCTTCCTCCTCCAAAACCTACCCACAAATGAAAGAGACATGAAATGAATAGGCATGTAAAAGGTGGAAAAAAGCAACAATTAACAACAATTGTAGAATACCTCATGAAGGAGTAGTTCTAATGAGTGAGGAAAATATGGCAGTGCCGTACAACTTCTGGCGATTTCCCATGCATGGTAACCCAAGTTGCGCCTTATAAGTTGACGTAGAATTTGATGGAGATAAACTTGGCTCTAATGGAGGAATGATCATCAAGATGAGTTACAAGAAGCAAAATTAAAATGAGCCAAAACGATAAGATGAATGTTTCCTTACAGTTCGCTCTAAAACACAAAATGGAAGAGAAAATGGACTCTTTTGGTCTGACGTGTAAAGAAGAGTGTCATTTTCAACTCCTAGGAGAATAGCATCTTCAAACAGTATAGCTGCAAAAAGAACATTAAAAAACAAAACAATAAAATTTTTAGAGAATGAGAGAAATTTTGCCAAGAAAAGAAGGGTACTGAAATCATAGTTTACCTAAAGGATAAATCCGAAGATGGAAGGGAAGCATAATTCGTTTTGCCATGAAACTATGTTGGTTGTCTTTAGATCTTGGAAACAGTGGTAACCACACTCTCATTCCATGGGCTCCACAAAACAGCCACAAAGCCTCTGTGAGATGTGGCTTTTCTATAACACTTCGGTTAGGCACCCAAACATGCTCAACACAAGAAGCCAAAACAGTGGGTGGAGTGCAATGAAACTGTAAAATAAGAGAGGCAGATATTAGAATATAATAAAAAAAATGAGGTAACATTATCAACAACCCTCAAATAAACAAACAGAATAGAATAAACATTTTTTGGAAAAAGAGAAACAAAAAATGAACTTTGCGAGGCTGATTGGTATGATAAGATGGCTGAACAAATTGGTTGAATGTCCAATTGAAAAACAGGATGCACTGGTTTTATATCATGAAAGTATATCTATTTGTATGAAATCGCTCTGCCATTAGAAAGCATGAGGAAAAACAGAAAGCAACGAATGGTGCATGCAAAACAACTTGTCTGTGCACACCTCAGAAACAACAGGGCCAACATATCATCAGCTTATCTTACCAATAAACCTTTTTGAGGATGTGTAACACTGAAGCAACATTGTTGGCAAATACTTGGAAAAAAATTCAAACTGTTCTGAAATCAATTGCTAATTAACTACCATTTCTGCTGACTTTATTGCAGTGAGGCAGAGAAAACCCGCTAAGCCAAATGAAACTCTTTTCAAACTGTGGAGGAATGAGTACTCACCAGCTCATCACTGTGAGGTGTGCGGGGATCTATTCTTCCATGTTCTCTTTGGACCATTAGCAACCTCCCACTTACATTCATAACAATACTTTCCATCTGCTGAGTGTTTTGCTGGCTCCTTCCTGACTCAGTACGAAGAGGAGTGAGAGCAAGAGATACAACACAAGCAGGATGCACACAAAGAGCGCTGATGTCTATCATTTGAAGAGCTGTGACATCAACTGAAGCACCTGAAGGAAAAAGAAAGTTCAAAATTTATTTGGTATTTCATGCAAAACTTTTTCAAGCCTAATAATTTTACAGAGGTAAGAGCTTACCAGAGCTGGCATTGTCCTTAGTGGAAAGGGCATAAATCGAAACTCGGGCATCAGAGCAGAATGTCACTAGGCGGTCCTGAAGTATATTCAGTAACAAAGCCTGGGCAGGTAGTTTAGTTACAGTTGCGAAAGAATTATCAAGTTTCGAATCTCTAGGATACAGACGTAGTTGGTCACAGTCTGATGCAACACTGTATGCAGCAAGAACGATATAAGAGCCCCACCACAATAACCCCCCTGATACAATGATGTCTCTTTCTTGACTTTCACTTCCAAATAGCTTCCATCTACGTGTTCCCACAGAATACAATGCCAGACCTGCTCGACCGGCAACTGCTAAGTGCTCTCCAGAAAGATCCATGGCAGTGTACTGTCAACAAACAAATAAATTTGCTTTTACAACAGCAATTACATAAAATTAAAAACCAAATACTGTATGAAAAAAAATATACTAACTCGAATGGGCCAATTTGCAGCTGAATATGTTGAGGGCAAAGGCACAACAACCCACTGTTTGGTTCCCATCAACTGACTGTTGTTGCTTATACCTTTGCTAGAGTTAACAGGAGTTTCAGTAAATGACAAACCAGAACCTGGCACAAACAATGATTCATCTCCTGAAGATTTTTTGGGGCTAGGCAAGCCGGTAGCACCCAGGTTTATATACAGTTTGTCTTCCCCTTGAAGGTACAGGTGATTTAAGTGTCCCTAAAAACAAACAATGGATAAATTAGTCGATTTGTTTGTTAGGATTTTAGGAAAAGGAGCAAGAGGGAATTGTGATTTGTCCAGTATGCATTACCATGCAAGGATTGACAGTTAGTGCACTTTTCACAAAGTCTAGGAGAACAACTGCATCTGATGGCTGTTCAAGACCATCATCACCACCTAGATCTTTATCAGGAAATCGACGAACCATCCATAATTGGTATCCTTCTGCACTCCACTCCTGTAGTAAATGCCAGAAATAATGAAAAACTTGTAAAATTATCAGAATTTGATTTTGAAAAAAAATGAGCATACTGGAAGAAAAATTGCAACTAACCATGCTCTGAATATTTAAAAGGCTTGCACTTGCTGACTCACTGTGCAAGCCATAGTCCCAGCCCAAGGAGCACAACAAAAGGGCTCCAAAGGTGCTCCACAAAGAAAGGCCCCCATTGGCCCAGGCCATTGCCACACAGCGTCCATCAGGAGTCCATCGAATGCAGCGAACTCTTCCTGGGCACCCAGGGTAGTCTTTAGGTGAGAGCACCATTTCATGAGTGACTTCCAATCCGCCAGTGGTTTCATCAACGCAACACACAACAGCTTGCGAGCTAAAAGAAGAGAGAGAGAGAAAGTAATTAAAATGTCATAAATTAGTAGTAAACTGATGAAATGATCCAGGCATGTTTCTTACTTTTTCCTTCCATAGGCTATTAGTCGATATTTGTGATTGACAGCAGCACATGTCGCGTCATCAATATTCTGCGCCCAAATCCCTTGCACTTGCTGCAAAAGTAACATAAAAATTAGAGACAGTACTTTACTTTTCAATAGTGGAAAATGGATTGTAAATTGTTCTCTGTCTTTCCCTTGCAAATTTACTTAGTGATTAAACTTGACTATTTTATTTATTTTTTAATTTGTAAAGTGCTACTTTATTATTAAAATTTGAAATTTTCCAATAACAATTTTACAGTGACAAGTAAAAAATGGTAAACAGAGTTTGGCGAATGACAGATAACGACAACACATTTAGGACGAGGAAAATTGGCACAGTTGAAAAGCACAGCTACCAAAATAGGCCAAGTGTGGAAAAATAAGCAAAAGAGACCAGTCATAGGATATGGATGACAAACAAGGTCTCCAGGATATTGCATCTGTAGTACAGCTGCAGGCATAAAATAAATCCACCCTCAATGCAGAGGACAGTACAGGCTCCATAAAAAACAAAAGGGAAAAGACACCAAGCAACTAACAAGCCCGAAATACAGTCTTACCCTCCTTCTTTCAAAATTGGCAGAATTATTTTCCTCTTCGTTTGGGGTCACCTGTGTTAAAAAGACACAGCAACTAAAGCATAATACGTACTACATTAGATGCAAGCTTATGCGGAAGTATGCCTCAGGTGGAGAATATTCTTAATATACTCTGGTGAGGACAACTTACACATGTAGCAACCCAAAGATAGTGTAGTGCAACACAAAACAAACTAAGTAGTCAAAGTAAGCAGCAGGTAAACGTAGGATAAGCAAGGTTTCCTTCAGTGCAGATCGGGGAACCACTCAAACTGAAACGGTGCACAGCACACTGACAGCTAATTCTCTCACAGGTGCGAACAAAAACTCACAATTCACCACGAAACTAGAAATTCTGGGAAACACATGAACACAGATAGACCTTGCTACTTACATTGGGGTCAAATTTAAGAGTTGAGGCGGTCAGGAATGCAGCTCTTCCATCATTAAGAACCACAGCAAATCCTCCCACAAGAGGTGAATAATCAATGCTAACAACATAGGTGTTGGCCTCAACAATCGGTATTGCTGAGAGAAGAGAGAGACAAAGTTAAAATGGATAACAATAGGAAGGAACAGGTCAGTAGTTACATAACAGTCTCCAAACCTTTGGAAACTTGTTGATCTATGCAAAAGGGTATTCTTCGAAGGTCCAAATTGTAATCTCGATTCTGGGAACCATCCCAGCGATAGCGTAGAATGTGGCTTTGAGAAGTCGCTACCATCAACTCATCTCGTATACAAGCAATACATGTTAAGGCACCGTCGAAGACACTAATTTCTTGTTCCTGCCACAATTAGAGTAGAGTTAAACATATGAGATTCAAAGCCCACAGTCATGGTATACAACCATAGAAATTTGAGTCCAAAAATGGACAAACTAATACAATAAAGGGCAATCTTCTTACCAATGTTAGCAAAAGTGGTGGAATGGATTCTTGAAGAAACAATTCTGCACTGTCTCTCCTAAGGCTAGGCACAGGTGAATCAATTTGCTCGTACAGCCCTTTTTGGTCAGGTCGCACACCAAGGTGGTACAGTAGTATATAACCACCAGATGTCTGCAAAAATACACAATCCATCAATGTTTCAATTCAAGATTTATTTGAAAAATGACCAGATGAAATACTTTTACACTCTGTGCTCCAATTTTGAATGGAGAAGAGTTACTTACAATGACCGCAAGCATACTGGAATCTGGTCTCCATTCCACAGATTCGTTGCTGCCGATGGCTTGCACTGACTCTCCAGGCCGCCGATGCGACACGATCGGGAGACATGGCTGTTTAATTGAAAAAACAGTGGGTAAGAAATAAACACGGACAACTGAAGAAATTGCTGAACCAACATAAAATGAAACCCGCAACAGTATGCCCTACTCACGAGTAATAATGATAGTACATTGACATTCAAGTATTTAAGATTGAGACTGACTTATGAAACACGCAACCCCAAAAAACATACAAAACCAAGGGTTGGGGAGGCAGAGAGAGTGGGAGAGCAACAACATAACCTGAATATAGAAATTACATTCTCTGTTGCCAAAGATCAAAACTAATGATAGTACGACTCAGATGAGTTAAGAAGAAAGACATTGTCAAATTTTTATTCTAAAATGACAAGTAATAATCCAATGTTACCTTGCAAAACCAAATTGACAGAGAATCGTCTGTCAAAATAGCAAAGAGAATCTTGTCCCTGTTACATATTACTTGGCGAATAGAACATTGACCTTGTTGAGGGAAACTTAAGACCCTAGGCCATCCTATGGGGAAGTACATCGTTTCTGATAGGTGATAGAGCTCACATCATTCACAGATTAAAGTATAAACAGCCAGGCTAGCATAAAATCTGACAATAACACGTCCTGCTGATCTTGGCCATGTTACACAGTTTGCAATCGTGAGAATATTTTCATTTTCAATCACAGTCCAAATTTCTGATTGGCTGCGCGCTGCACAGCTTTCGCCAGGAATCGAGATTGCACCAATCACACATCACCTTTTAGACAAGGTAGCGCTTTTCGGTGAAACTCGCAGTCGTACCAACAATCCACCACCAACTGCAGTGTGTTCACAATGGCTGCCCTGTGCGAAATTCGGTCTGCTGTGAAAATATTGAACTTAGTTCGTCCTGCTGGCCAATTTTCGGTATGTTGTGTTGTGCTATGTTCAACATTTATGGTATTTCTATATTTCCTCTCGGTGGCAAGCAGAAATGTGTGCGAATCACAAACACAAATGACCTAACCTCAACTCTTTTCTGATCTGTATTACCTACTGAAGGAAATATATTTTATTTTTTGCCTCTTAGGTCGTAGTCTCTGTTATCTTTGGAAGGGAGAGAATTAGAATTTCGTGGCGCTTCGTTGACATGCCTAAAATATTGCTGTCAGTCCATCATTTTAAAAATCTAACACTGAACTAAGATCAATGTCAAGAGTGACAAGAACCAAACTTTCAATAAACTGTACAATTGTCACCGAGTGATGACATGATTTGCTTCTTACTGAATGTGTGATGTGTTTCAATTCCTCTCTTCAGGCATGTGGAAACAAACACTTCGCCTCAGCCGGCAGCCAAGGGTCCTCCAGCAAAGGATCTTCCGCTGGTAGCTCTGGTGCTGCCGCAGCAGACACCCCAAGTGTCCCTGGCCTCAGCAAGAATGTCCTTTCTGTTCCAAGTGGAGGTTCGTCATAAAATTGATCATTGTGGTAAGATCCGTGAAGATGTATGCAATACTAATTTTAAACTTGCTGTGTCCGTAGAAGTGGGACCGGGCGCCTCCAAGTCTACCGGTTACAAGAATCCCGAATATTTCTGCTACCACGCAGGCTCATACTTTGAAGCTGAAGTCGAAATGCTCAAATATAGGTGCCCTCAACCATCTGCCTTGAAGAAGTAATTTCTTTTAGATTAGATTAATTTTTATTGTTATGCCTCTTGCAGTGCATTCTTCATTGTACATCAATTTGTAAATATAATGTGTGATGAGTAGTCATTTGTTGTTAAATCATTCATTTAGCAACACTTTGTCTCAAAGGAGCATGATAGCTTTCAAGGAGCAATAGACTCAGGCACTCTTCAATCACAGTACAACATACAAGCCAAAAGAGTCTTTTTCCAGCAATTTGACCTTCTGGACTCGAGAGTACAAGCACCTTCATGTGTCTCAATGGCTCTTGTACCTTTAGGTATGTTTTTAAGCAAAGGTATCATCTGCTGAAAAGGTAAACTGTCAAGCACAAACTGTAGGTCAATGCCAGGAGCTACTGTGTCAAACTTTGAGTCCGAAAATGCAAAAGAGTGACCAGTAAATCACCGTCATTTCCAACCTGGCCCTCATATCTCCCAGAAAGGTGAACCATTTTAGAAGAAGTGAGTACTAGGACCAAGTCTCCACCGCGAACCTGTGCCACGAACCACGTGAACAAGGCCACGCTCTTGTCCACGCGGAAGCACCTACATACTCCAACCAAACATAAAAGAGCTTAGAGTTGTCGCGGTCGAGGGACGAGGGCCACTGCGATGGCGGCCAAGGCGGCAGAGGCCCTCGACCGCGAGAACTCAGAGCCCTGCCCAGTTGGGTCGTCGTACAAATGGGGAAGGGTAGAAAAGGGTGAACAGGGGGCTCTTTCGGAAGGGGTCCCATGAGGGGCTCCCGTGGGGCGAGGCAGGGCGAGGGCACTGTGCTGTGCAGGGCTGCAGGGCAGGTGTCGCGAGGCGCCCTTGCCGACGAGGCGCCCGCTGCGCCCGCCCTTCGGCGTCCTTCCCTGCCCTGCGCCCCGCCCCCTCCACCACCGGCAGGCCAGGCAGCCGGCGCTGGCCGCCGTGCCGCCGTGCCGGGGGTAGGGGTGGCCGCCTGCAGGCCCGGCCTGGTGGGCCCGCCTGGCTCGCCTCGCCGCGCGGATGGCTGGGGTAGCCGGGGATGGCATGGCGAGTGCGAGTCCAGTCGCTCAAGCAGTCGCTGATCGCGCGGCCCGCCAGCCGCCACCCCTTCGGCGCCTTGCTGCGTCGCCGTGCGTCGCTGCAGCCTGCAGTGCGGAGTGTGCGGGGCGCAGGCAGAGCCGGCAGCGCGGGGCCTCAGACCATGCCCCCCGCGGCCACGCCACCGGCCCTCGCCCTGGGGGCCTTGCCGGCCACCGCGGCCACGGCGAGGCCGTCCTCGTCGTCCTCGTCGTCTTCCGGCGCGGCCGCCGGCGAGTCGCTCAGCACGCGCGGCGCTGACGCCTTGGCTGACGCCTTGGCTGACGCCGACGCCGCGACGGTCCGCGGTCCAGCCGAGCCCCCCGACAACGACGACCCCGAACCGCCGCCGGAGCAGCCGGCGCCAGTGTGGTCCACGTCGTCGCTGACGGAGACCATCGCCGACCTGCGGAAGGGGCTAGCGCAGCTGCAGCACGCCACACCGAGCTCGACGACCACGGTGGTGCAGACGGACGTTGCGCAGACGGACGCGCGGCGGAGCACGGCGGCACAGGCCACCACCGCCACGGCCAGGATGACGTCAACGCGATCGCTGAGCCGTGGCGGCTCGCAGGTGACGGCCACGGACGACGCCGCAGCCGCGGACACGACGCGCTCCCTCTTCAAGGTGCAGCCGCGGTTCGCGATGCCCGTGTCGCCGCCCAGCCTGCCGAGCACGGCGACGGGGGACTCGGTGCGGCGCGTGGTGCCGGACGCGGACGCCGACAAGCGCGCCGCGCAGCAGGCCCGCGGCAACGGGTTGGCGACCTCGCTGACGGCGCGCCGGCTGGTGCAGCTCCCGGGCCCCGCCTGGCCCGCCGGCTACCAGACGGCGCCGTCGGGCTCCGTCACGTGGTCCTTCGACGGCGTGGCGCGCCCCCACGGCGGGTCGCCCGGCATCACCCTCGTCGGCGGCGGCCCCGCCGGCCCCGGCCCCGGCCACCACGGCGCGCCCAACATGACGGGCTACGTGGGGCAGCGCGGCTCCGTGGCCGGCACCCTGGCCGGGTCGCTGCACGGCGGCGTCAACGTGCTGCTGGGCGGGTAAGCTTGACTACGTAACGCCCCCGCCGTTTACTGCGGAAAGGCTAAGCACGCACTCACCGGCCGCCCAGACCGTCACCGTCCCGTCACGCGCCAAACGCAGCGAGAAGCGCCGAAGCGGAGCGCCCGCGAACGGCGGGGTAGGCCAGCCCGCCACACACGCGTGCCTGCGGGACTGCCTACTTGCAGGCTGTTTCTGAACGATGGTTTCGCCGCTGTCTCTTTTGCTCTCAAGGGGCGTCGCGCAGGTGCGCGAGAGAGAGACTCTTCACAGTGGGTCGGCGCAAGGGGTAACCAACTCAAGATTTTCATGTGCACTGATTATATTTAGAGTATGATTACATGTGACTTCTTTTGATTATTTTATTATTCATCACTGATTATAGGAGGTTATTATGTTGATTATTGGGAAATATTGGGGATTATTTGAGCGCCGACCTCGGAAAGCTGTTAAAGTGTCGGAAATTCAATATTGGTGACTTTGGGCAGCCACTGCGTCAAATTTAGTTGCGGTCATAGGCCTTCCTCGACGCCTTACTATTCTGAAGACCCTACTCTTTCATGCCCCGCCTCGGGAAGGCTTTGACCGCTGATAGTTTGGGAGCAGTGGTCTCGCAAAAATAGTCAAAGAGTGAATGAATTTCAGAAAATCACCGTTTTTGCTAACTTTGAGCGGTCACTGCATCCAATTTAGTTGCGGTCAAAGGCCTCCCTCGACGCCTTACTATTCTGAAGACCCTACTCTTTCATGCCCCGCCTCGGGAAGGCTTTGACCGCTGATAGTTTGGGAGCAGTGGTCTCGCAAAAATGGTCAAAAGTGATTAAATCCCAGAAAGTATGTTTGTCGTTTCATTGGATGCTGTTGATTATTTCACTGATTACCAACTAGACGTGCAGTGATTATCATGAGTTGGGTACCCCTTGGGTCGGCGTCGGCACGCGGAGACGGGGCGGCGTGGCGCGTGCACTGACCCCCTGTGCGCATAGAAACCGGCAGGGTGACACCCTCGGTGACGCCGGACACAGGTCGCCGCCGAAGCCCGGCGCGGCCGGCCGAGAGTCTTGACCGTGACGGAACACGGCGAGGCCTTGAATCGCGGGGCCGGCTCGTCACCAAATTGAATTACTAGCAGAGAAAGGAAGGGCGGGGGGTGGGGGAGCGCGGCCATGACCATGGCCACGTTGTGCAGGCGGAGGCGCGTTGCTAAGACTGCACACTGTGCGTCCTCGCTCGCTGCAGGCTGATTCCGAGAGTCGTTTTCGTCTGTCTCTCTCGCACTCACGGGACGCGCCGTATAGGTGCGAGAGAGACAAACGACTGAGTCCGCTGGCGCGCGCATTATACTCGTTCCCCGCCACCCTGCAGGGCATGCCGCGCCCCCCGCCCTTGGCCCTCGGCCACTTTAGGGCGTGGTCACTGCTAAGGGTCCTTGTCGGCCCGCGGGGCTGCCGCCCTGCCGCTACGCACTACACTGGGCATTCCCCGCCTCGGCGGCAGCACAGCGCCCTCTGTGCGGAGCGCGGCGCAACTACCCGCCCACCGCCGCCACTGCAGCCGACGTAATCGCCCCCGCGTCGCGTGCACGCCGAGCATGCCGCCGTCGTCCCTCGTCCTTCTCCTTGGCCAGGATGGCCGGCCGGGCGTTGCGTTTTGCCGTGCGCTCATTTCGGAGGGTCGATACGCCACCAGAGCAGACTGATTCCGAGAGTCGTTTTCCTCGCTCTGTCTCGCTCGCACCTACACGCGACGCCTCATGAGTGTGAGAGAGACAGAGCGACGCAAACGACTCTCGGAATTGGTCTGCAGGGTTGCGCGGGCGCCGCGCGGGCCAGCCGGCCGGATGGCACCTCCAGGAGGGCAGGAAGCGCCTCCTCCAGGAGGTCCAGGGCGTCCTGGACGAGGCCGCGCCGAGGCCGCGCCGAGCCCGGCGCCCCCATTTCCGGCCGCCTCGCCCTCTTTCCGCCCGCCGCCGTCATGGTCGGCATGGTCGTCATCGTGGCCGGCATGATCGTCATGTTCATGGTTGGCATGGCTGCCATGGTCGACATGATCGTCATGGTCGACATGGTCAGCATGGTCGACATGGTCGTCAAAGTCATGGTCGTCGTTGCTGCCATTCGGCCAATTGACGCAATGATGGGCCAGCCCAGCCAATGACGGCGTGACGGCCCCGGCGCTCCTGGACCGTGCCCGCCTGGGGACTGACCGCGGCCGGCCGACCGACTGTGGCACTGGAAATAACGAATAAACAGATTCGATCTGACCGCAAACCCGAGCGACACTGCCAAGGGACGGACTGTCCATAGCCAGCCACGTGGTGGATTGGACAGCAGGCCCAATTTCAGCCAGTAACTCCCGACCCCCTTTCCACGTTAATTGGTCACGCGGTTCGTGGACGCTCCTTGAAGCGGACTAGGCGCTTCCCCGGTTGCTGATCTGGCTCTGCCGGCTCTGCCCCACTGGCGTCGCCAATATCCGAGTCCACCCTGCGCCGTTCGCGAGGAAGCGCCACTTACCCGGCGAGCTCTCCTTCCTTTGCCCGCGACCGGTTATTGCAATTTTCCACCTGGATGTGAATTCTAATATCCGGCGGGGCAAGTCGGACTGGCCTCGCCCCCCCGCCAGTCTATTGGCACGTGTCTCGGCGAGACGGGCAGCAGTTAGTCCGATTCCGAAGCGCCGCGTCGCGCCATGAGTGCGAGAGAGACAGAGCGACGACCGCAGCGCCGCTCGGTCGGTGCGCCGCCGCCAGACTGCGGGGCGCAGTGGCCGTGCACAATGAGCCGAACAAGAACAAGCCGGGTGACTGCCTCCGTGCTTTCATTCGCCGGGTTCGCCGTTTCCATGGCAACGATTACAGGCCCCAGGGTGCCCCGGGGGACTACGCGGGCGGATGCAGCAGGACCCACGATCCACCGCCGCCGCCCCGACGGCGAGCTCCACGGCAGCGCCTCGAGCAGCTCGGGCCACCATAAATCTGAGATATTTGC